CACGCGTGGGCGCTGCCCGGGCTGTCGCGGCCGCAGGACGCGCTGCTCTGCGCCGTGCACTGGGAGCTGGTCACGCGGGGCTACCGCTGCCTGGGCGCCGGCGACCGGGTGAGTGCGCGGGGCCGGTTGCGCCGCCGCCGCCGCTTTCGCTTTCGCTTCTCCCGCCCCGCCGGTGCTGCCCGGGGGCCCCGTCTCTTGCGGCGGGGCTGCGGGGGTCTCAGAGGTGTGTGTCGCCCCCCAGGCGGGTCCCGACGAGAGGAAGTCGGAGCTGCTGCCGGCGGGATGGCAGGCGGACCCGGAGCTGTACACGCTGCGCTACCAGGCCCAGGACGACAGCCGGGAGCTGCTGCTCAAGGCCATCATGGTGGACACCAGCATGATCCTCAACGTCATGGTGAGCCCCCGCGGCGGGGGTGGGCACGGCCCAGCCAGCGGCTCCGTGCAGGGTGCGCCGCCCGGGAGAGACGCCTGGAGGCGTAAAGGCAGCTGGGAGCGCGGGCGCGCAGCCCCAGGGCCGTGGCGCCCGCTCCCATCCTCCGGCAGCTGACGCGGCCCCTCCTTGCCCTCGCCCAGGACCGCGGCTCGCTGCAGGTGGCGGACGTGACCTTGAACGTGGCGGACTACATCGACCCGGCGCACCTGGACGACTTCCACAGGTAAGTGCCGGGGCGGGCGGGGCTGGAGCCACCAAGAGCCGGGGAGGGGTAGCCCAGCGTGTCCCTTTGCTCCCGCGTGTGGGCCGGAGCCACAGCCGGCGCCACGGACTTCTCCGTGGTTCCTCGCGAACGTATGCGGTGCCGCATTCCCATCGCACTCACCCCTACAGGGGTCCTGCCAGAAGCTGGTGATCAGCTGTCCCCTGGGGATTGGGTGTAACGTAAGGGGCTTAAACTGCAGCTGGGGGGTTTAGCCTGGAGGCAGAGTTTTGAGGCACGAGGCAGGCCACGACATGTTTTCCCAGGGGCATTTCCAGCATTAGATGATACAGGGTAGAGGAACGTCTGCCTGGACGGGGCCAGCCAGGGGATGAGAGGTGCCTGCTCCCCCCTGCCCTCTCTGCAAGCTGCTATTATAGGGGCAGGCAGCTATTTTGGCCAGAGGGCCGCTTACTGAGTTTTGGCAAGCCATCGAGGGCCGCATGACCGGCAGCCCAGGGCAGATAAATATTAATTTTCTAAATTTTTTTAGGGGCCCCGCAG